GTTTGTGTTGTGGGGGGGGGGGGGGGGGTGGGGTTTGCAAGGGAAACTTTTCATTTATGCTTATATCCTGGGCATGAGTCACTCACTCACTATTGGGTTTTTCCCCTGTATTCTGAATTCAATAACTGCATCAGCAAAATGCACACAATTCTTTCCCTTTTAGCAATATGCACAATCTTGGGCCCTTTTGTGATAAATTTTCATTTCTGACTACTTTTTAGTGCCTGTTTGGTAGTGCCACCAACTGCACTACCTAATGAAGCCTTAATGAGGGGGTACTGATTTTAAGGGTAAACCAAAACCTGAGGTGTTGATGGCTATTAGGATCCCATAGTGTTATCGACTAAACACAGAGCAATTCATTCAATGGAGCATTGACAAAGTCATGTATCCATGTTCTCTGTATGCATAGTTCTATAATTGTGATACTCCTGCCTAATTTGTTGCAAATTGTAGACATACTTGATTTGGTTTTACTTGTGGGTGAGGTTTTTTTCAGAATCTCTTAACTTCACCTTAGAGGCAATATAGTAATATTAATATGAAATGTCCCCCCATTTCTGTATTTCTGTACATGTTGCATTTTTCTGTTGCATGATGCTCCAAACATGTAAGCCTGTAATTTGCAGGAAGAATGATGAGCTCCGGAAAGATGCTGTTGATGCACTTTGTTGTTTGGCTCATGCCTTAGGAGAGGATTTCACCATTTTCATCCCATCAATTCACAAACTCTTACTGAAGCATCGATTGCAGGTCTGTGCTTTTACCTGCATTATTGTTATTTGACTTGCTTATACGAAAACCTTCTCTTGTGTTGCTGCATTATATCTCAGAGTTGAGATGACAGTCTTACTCCTGAATTTTAAATACAAGTTCTTTCTCTTGTCAGCATAAAGAATTTGAAGAAATTGAAGGACGCTTGAGGAGACGTGAACCTCTAATTTTGGGGAGTACAGCTGCACAAAGATTGAGCAGACGACTTCCAGTGGAGGTTATCAGTGACCCTTTAAATGATATGGAGAATGACCCTTATGATGATGGGGTTGACATGCAACGACATCTTAGTGGCCATCAGGTAACTTTCTCTTTTGAACAATTGCACAATCGTTTTTGTTACTGATTTTTATTTAGCTGTGTAGGAATGTAGGCTATGCTGAGTCTACAGTAAAAGTCTAGGTTGCTAGCTCCGGATCAATTGTTAGCATGCATGTTAAAAGCTATAAATATTAAATGGTCTCAGCTAATTATTTCATATGCATGGTTTTGATTTTCAAAAGACACCCAACTTAAAAGCTTAGGGTTCCAGGTGAGACCTAGATTGGTTTTATTACACTCTCACATATGCCCTCAACTGGTAGCCCATTGAGCTTGATTGTTGGAAAAAATGCAGGCATATATAAGGTTAAAAGCGGGCTGTACATGTGCTAGCACTGACTAATGGGCAACATAACACTGTTGCATTGTGCTTATCTAAAAATATCATGGAATCTTATTTTAAAATTGCCTATTGTAGACTACACTTGATAGATGAACTGCCCGTGTTTTAAGCCCAACAGGTTCTTGTTTTAGTGGGGCACGTTAAAAATATAAAAGTCATCTTTGGTCTTCACAAAATGTTGAGTTTTCAAGTTTGACTGTTATGTTGCATGACATTTCATCTCACCCATGCAAGCATTTTTTGCAATATCAATTTGAAATTTCTTTGTTTTGTCTTGTTGTGTGGTTTAACTAATGTAAGTTTGTGCAGGTTAATGATAGTCAATTACGCACTGCTGGAGAGGCTTCTCAGCGCAGTACTAAAGAAGATTGGGCAGAGTGGATGAGGCATTTGAGCATCGAACTTCTGAAGGAGTCTCCTTCTCCAGCGTTACGAACCTGTGCAAGGCTTGCGCAGTTACAGGTATGGACAATAGCACCATTTATGAACCTGCTCTTGCTGTTTCTATTCTGATCCACAGCTTTTGCAGCCTTTCATTGGCCGGGAATTATTTGCTGCTGGTTTTGTTAGCTGCTGGGCACAACTGAATGAGGCCAGTCAGAAACATTTGGTTCGGAGTTTGGAGATGGCATTTTCATCTCAAAATATTCCTCCAGAGATTCTAGCAACGCTTCTTAATTTGGTATGTCCTCTCTTCATATGGAATAGTGTTCTAATATTAAATAATGTAGAAATCACATTGTGGTTTAAGATGGAGACCTTTTTTTTGCCATCCTTGCATGCCAGAAACTATTGCTTGTTTTGTGAAGTGTGATATGTTTGTAACATATTATTTTGCTCTTAAGCAAGCAATTAGACATTGTCTGACAGCTTAAACTGTTGGGGTTTCTACAAATGTGCTTTTGAAACTCTGCAGCCTGAATAAACAACTCTCTGTTTCCCGTTGGCATCCTGACTCCAGCTCAACAATGATACTTCTTCCTGATATTGATGTTACAGGTGGCTTAGAAACAATTTAAGAGAAATTGGTTCTCTTTTCTTTTATTTTACCTTTTTTACCAGCATAGGAATAGACAATAAATTTTGGGGAAAGCTTGCAAGAGTAAGGAAAGCTCGAATTATTTATGCTGTTCCATTTCTTCCACACATGAAAATTTAAGTTCAAAATTTCCCAAACTTTAGGCCACCATATATCTTTCATAAGGATTTACCTGAATCATCAAGATCCATAATTTTGTAATGAAGATGATATTATGGTACTGTTTATGCTTTTGTGGTTGCCCATGATAGTGGTAATTGGAAATTTGGAATATGCATTGAAATAAAAGTAAAGGATAGAACATGCAAGATTTAGATATATAATCCATTGGCATCCTTATGAAGTTGTCCCTAGCAATCCGTAGTCTCTGGTACCAGCATTATGAAATTTGTCTTGAGGTGGTGGTCATTGTGATGCAGAACAGCCTTGAATATTAAAATTTTATTGTTTTAGATGGGGATTATGGTTAGAGTGTAATGTATGTTGAATTGGATTTGATTGAAGGATGTTTTGGGGAGAATTTGGTGTCAATCTGGGTTCCGAATAGCAATATCAAGAAAAGAAAGTAGAAGAAAGAGTTTTTAGAGAACAGAGAAGAGGAAGCAAAGAACATGTAAAGCTGCAACCCTCAAACTAAATCAAATACTCATAATATCATTATTTGAAGTCTGACAATTACATAGAAAAATGCTCCTTTTATATGCAAAAAATAGAAATCTAAGTAGGAAAAGGAAATTGCACATAATAACAAAACTTCCAACTAATATTGTAGTTCTTAAATAAACTAAGATTCCAAATAGTATTAATATTTTTTATTATAACAAATTCCCAGATACAGTAGTTTTATGTGAAATATCAAAAATATTCAGAACAACTGTAACTTTTTAAACCTTTCTCTCTCATTTACTGCATCACATTGTTTCATCTTGGCTCCTTCAAATGTGAAAAGTAAGTTAAACATCATAATTTATGTAGTAGTCCTTGTGAATCTTCACATGCTTGCTCTGTTCTGCTATTATATGAAGGGTGGCTATTTATCCTATTGATGTTCCTTTGCAGGCAGAGTTCATGGAACATGATGAGAAACCTCTACCTATAGACATCCGCCTTCTTGGCGCTCTTGCAGATAAGGTTCTTCCTTCTAATAAGCAACTCTATAGCTGCTTGGCTCTCGTACTTGCATTTATAGTAAAAGTAATACATGTATATTTCATTCATTTGCTTATGGTGAATGCTACATTCCAGTGTCATGCATTTGCCAAGGCTTTGCATTATAAAGAAATGGAATTTGAAGGTTCACTCTCCAAGAAGATGGATGCTAATCCCGTTGCTGTAGTTGAAGCTCTCATTCATATAAATAATCAGTTACATCAGCATGAGGTCTGTTTTGAGGAAGAACTATGCTCTACTTTTTGTACGATTTTTCATCTGCCTCTTAAAAACATTCTGTCAGGTTGTCTTAGTTTCTGATCATTCTTATTTCATTCCATCGTTGATTCTTAGGCTGCTGTTGGAATATTGACCTATGCCCAGCAAAACCTGGATGTTCAACTTAAGGAGTCATGGTATTAACAAACTTTGGCATGGAAGGAACATATTTCTATTATCTGAATAAATCATTGATGATTTGTTTGTTTCAGATGAAAATATTTTATACTTTGATTTTCCTGCATTTGTGTAGGTATGAGAAGCTGCAACGGTGGGACGACGCTATCAAAGCATACACTGTCAAAGCCTCTCAAGTTTCAAGTCCACATCTTGTGTTGGAAACTACATTAGGTTGGCTTGAATATACTCATGTTGGCTGTCACTACTGTTTGGCTTATTTTCTTCAATGTAGTTATAGTCACTCCATCATAATACCTGCTTTTTTATATCAGAAATCTGATCTTGAGCTCTTTTTGGCAATTTACCTAAAATGAAGAGGAAATTGATAAAATCATATGAATAAATTGATCATGCAATATTGAGGAAGCACTGATGTCTTAAAGCTAGTCCAGGCATCTAGTGATTGTATCAAATGTTCAGTAACCCTTTTCAGTTGTGTGAACACACCTGATTGCCTAGATGCTGCCTAGGGTCGTTCATGGGTAGGGATAGCTCATGTAATTGTCGAATTTTAAATACTCGTGCCTCAAAAATCAAATGTCCAGTAAGGATACTCTATTATTACATTCTTTTTCTTGGTTTACGAGGAGGCCCATTGGTTGCAACTAGAGTAGTCTTTTTTTGTCTGTTCCATAACGAGTGTTTGTTTGATCCAAGTTGATGTAGGTTTGGAAGAGGAAAGCTACACTAAACAATAATTACTGCAGAAAACTTACTAAAACATTAAAGAAAATTGAAGTTGGAACAAGAAAAGAGGGTTCAGAGAGAAATCTCTAAAATCTGAAATTGATTGATAGAAAATAAAACATTGATTAGTAAAAATATCCCTAGTAGCCAATTATATCAGTCAAAATCCTAGCCTTAATACTTGTAGGAAAAAAGATCTCTATGAAAAGGCAAATGCTAATCAGATGACATTTAGAGAAACCAAAGAACATAGAGATTTATAGCTAAATAAGAAAATTAATAAGGAAAGTATTAGAAACCTTATGCATCACAAGTGACAATATTAGCTAACTAGCACCTTAACTGCTTGTATTGATTAACCGCATAGCGTTGTTTTGAGTCATTTCTTGCATCCAGTTTGTTAAAGTTTGTCAGATGATTCCTATCAAGGGTTGTGGTTGATAATGGTATTTAGTGTAGGTCATTATTAGAGCAGCCATTTAGGATTGCCCTTTTTGTTGGTTGAAAGATTATCTTTGAATGAAGCTTTTTTTATTGGTGATGGAGGCCACCTGGAAGCATGGGGTCAGTGGGCCTGCGTTACCTTGATCATGCAATGTACCCCCTTTAGTCTTCCATTTAGATATCAAATTTCATCTTCAGCTTCTTCCCCATGTATTTTTCCCACTTGAGGGATGGGGATACATCACTTTTTTATCCTTCCATATTTCAAGAGTTTGAAGATCTTGGAATATTGAAATTAATCATCCTTGTGTTCTATGTAGGGAGGATGCGATGCCTTGCTCAGTTAGCTCGGTGGGAAGAGCTTAACAACCTATGCAAGGAATATTGGACACCAGCTGAGCCTTCTGCCCGATTAGAAATGGCTCCAATGGTTTTTTTCTGAACTTTATGCAGTTGTCATAACTTGATCCACTATGCATGCTTACTTTTGTGACTTGATTGTTTCAGGCTGCTAATGCTGCTTGGAACATGGGTGAGTGGGATCAGATGGCAGAATATGTGTCTCGATTAGATGATGGTGATGAAACTAAACTACGGGGTTTGGGGAATACTGCTGCCAGTGGTGATGGAAGTAGTAATGGCACATTCTTCAGGGCTGTGCTTTTAGTTCGTAGAGGGAAGGTACTCTTTGAATTAGATCTATATTAACTTCTATTTGCATCGCTTTTTTGTTGTGCGCTCTTAATTATTTCATTATGACCATTGTTTTTGCTAGTATGATGAAGCTGGTGAGTATGTTGAGAGAGCTAGGAAGTGTCTGGCAACTGAGCTTGCTGCATTGGTCAGTTTCTGATTTCCTCATGATACTTCCAATTAAGCATGGGTTTCTATGTTGGCTTTTGCATCTATGACTTCTCTTTCTGGAAGAAATTCTTTCTTATTAATTATTATGATATTTTGAGGTATTTTCTTCTACAGGTTCTGGAGAGCTATGAGCGTGCATATGTCAATATGATCCGTGTTCAGCAGCTGTCAGAACTAGAGGAGGTTTGCTCAGTTTTTGAGAATACATCTACCTTGTTTTTGTTCTATTTCTGCATACAAGCATGAAATTAAACTGGAGTATGGGGTGGTAATTTGTTTTGTGACAGGTCATTGACTATTATACACTTCCTAGGGGAAATCCTGTTGCGGAAGGACGGCGGGCCCTTATACGCAATATGTGGACAGAAAGGATACAAGGAGCAAAGCGTAATGTTGAGGTAGAGATGACTTTATTCTCTCTCTCTTGCACATGTGCATTCATGTTTTCTGCTAGCCTGTTGAAGTTGAGATATTTTCCTGATAGTAAATATCTCAGCATGTATGATTGTGAAAATGAAGTCAGCTGAGATCATGGCATTGAAAGCCAGGTTAAAACATATAGCAAATGCTATGACAAGGGTTCATAGAGTATTGTTTCCCACTTTCAGTGAAAAGCTTTCATGGATAGTGACAATTGCTTTTTCTCTGACCTGTTTGACCATTTTTATGCTTGATTTTTCAGGTCTGGCAAGCTCTTTTGGCTGTAAGAGCACTTGTACTGCCTCCAACTGAAGACATTGATAACTGGCTCAAGTTTGCTTCTCTATGTCGAAAAAGTAATCGGATTAGTCATGCTAGGTCCACTTTGGTTAAACTTTTACAGGTCCGTGGCGCATGTCTCACCAAACCAGCATTGATGTTAATTTTGGGATTGATTCTCATTTGTCTTTGCCTGTTAAAATTTTGCTTTGAATTGTAAACAGTATGACCCTGAGACATCTCCTGAAAACATGCGATACCATGGGCCTCCTCAAGTAATGTTGGCATACTTGAAATATCAGTGGTCACTTGGGGAGGATCACAAGCGAAAAGAAGCTTTTTCTAGGTTGCAGGTGTGCATAACTGATTTAGCTGACTGTATCAGGCACAATTACCTTCATATGTAGCTTCACTTACTAATTCTGTTCTCTCTTGCTACATATTTTTCTTGGATGCCAAATCACTCTTACAGGATCTGGCCATAGAGCTTTCAGGTACCCCAAATATGCAATCAGTCATGCCAACAGGTTTAATGGTTAGCATGGGTCAAAATGTCCATCTCCTGGCACGTGTATATCGTATACTTGGAATCTGGCAGTGGGCTCTTTCTCCTGGTTTGGATGATGATTCCATACAAGGTGGCTGCCTCCTTTCCACACTAAATTCTGTAAGAAGTTGTCTTTTTGGTTCTTTTTTATTGATTCACCTTTTTTTTTGTGCAGAGATTCTTTCATCATTCAGCAATGCCACTCAGTATGAAACAAAATGGGGAAAAGCATGGCACTCATGGGCTTTGTTCAATACAGCAGTGATGTCACACTATACTTTAAGAGGGTTTCCAAATGTTGCCTCACAGTTTGTTGTTGCAGCGGTCACTGGTTATTTTCATTCAATTGCCTATGCAGCAAATGCTAAAGGTGTTGATGGTAGTTTACAGGTAAATAATATCTCATATATAGGTCTCCTTGCACATTTAAAATCTTAAACATGCATCTAAAAAAATGTGGACATTATCTTTTTCCTTCAGCTTTTACTAAGCTCTTCTTTCTTTCCACATTGTAGCAGTCACTTTCTGTTAAATAGGCACCTTCTTGGTTGTTATAAAAGACGAAGATTACAGTGTGAATCTGGTCACAATTTCAATGAACCTGCAGTTTGTACTTTCAAATTTATATGGAGATGTGTTAGCGTGTATATGATCATTTTTTAAATACTTTAGGTATAAATTCATTTTGTGATGCCTGCATTTTTCACTGAGGAAAAGAGTTGTTTCTTATGTCATGTATTAAGTCAATAGCTAGATATTCATCTGTCTTATTTTCCTGGATCCTGGTTTGTTTTGCTCTGTATATTAATACTCCAGATGGGTGTTGTTTTTAATTGTGCTATTTGTTTCAGGATATACTCCGCCTTCTTACCTTGTGGTTCAACCATGGAGATACTGCAGAAGTTCAAATGGCACTGCAGAAAGGATTTGCTCATGTTAATATCAACACATGGCTTGCTGTTTTACCTCAAATAATTGCCAGGATACATTTGAATAACCATGCTCTGAGAGAACTAATTCAATCACTTTTGGTGCGAATTGGACAGAATCATCCACAGGTGTGCATTTTTTGCTTGATGCTTTCCAAATTGATAGCTACACTATTTTAGGCAGGGCTATTGGATGAAAGAACTGAAATATAAATTGTTGACTTTGCACTTAAGCTGCGGAACAAAATGAATGCTATAGTGATCATGCTAGAGAATATTGTATTTAACTTGACCTCCATGGAAATAGAAAACCCATACAATTGCCACATGCAGTGCAAAAAATAGTTTATGAATAGTACATTTTTCTAGAATTTCATTTTATAATCTTGGACGTTTTCAAATCAATTTTGTGTGGTAAAATGGTATTTTTTATTGTTTTGTTTGGTTGATTTTGTATTGTTTTTCATTTCTTTAAGCGTGGATAAAATTTCTGAAAGTAAGAGAATCCTAATTGAATTGAAGTCACAGACACTAGTTCTAAAAATTGTCAGTGAAGAAACACTAGATGTTGATTGCTCAACCTAAAAGGTAGGAATCTTCCTTTATTCCACAAGTGTATCTCTTTCAATATATTTATAAAGGCTACTTTGATAGCACAAGTTTTGCATTGCATTCAAGTTCTTAAGATAGATGTCTCTTCACACAAATGCATCTGGACCTCTGCATGTGTTTAAGGAATTGATATTTTTGCAGGCTCTTATGTATCCTCTTCTCGTGGCTTGTAAATCTATAAGCAATTTACGTAAAGCAGCTGCTGAGGAAGTGGTAAACAAAGTTCGGCAGCATAGTGGTGTGCTTGTGGACCAGGTTAATTAAGTGGTTAATTTACAATCAATTAATTGTTTGTTGCAGTTTGGTTTTATCTTAATACTGGTCTCTGTTCACATGTAGGCACAACTTGTATCATCAGAACTAGTTAGAGTCGCGATACTTTGGCATGAAAAGTGGCACGAGGGACTAGAAGAAGCAAGTCGTTTGTATTTTGGTGAACATAACATTGAGGGAATGCTAAAGGCATTGGAGCCTCTGCATGAAATGCTGGAGGAGGGTGCTATGAAGGAGAATATTACTATAAAGGAGAGAGCATTCATTGAGGTTTCAATTAATATTATCGCATTTTTCATTACATATGTTTGCTCTTTGATATCCACTATTAGTGTATTTGATCTTATTGTAAAACTGTTCTGGATTTTTAGCATAATTCAATTGTTGAATTCTGGATCTTACATTTTTTATCCCATGGTGCTATGTTGCTATTCTAATATATTGAATCAGATGACTCCCTTTGTCTTGAAACCGATTTGTAATTCCTGAAAATGGTACGCAGGCATACCGGCATGAATTGTTGGAGGCATGGGAGTGTTGTATGAAGTACAAGAGAACTCTAAAAGAGGCTGAGCTTACTCAGGTATGGTAGTTTGAGGGAGTGAAATATGTGATTTTTTGTAGGTTTTTAGTACTGGTTAAGAAATGGTAAACTTTTCTTATGTGTGCATGAATCTGCCTGGGGTGGATGAATTGGTTGGAAAATCATGACATACGAGTATATCCTCTTTCTGGTTGCCATTTTCGGATACGTAAACACATATTTTCCTTACTACCTTTTTGTACATGGTTTTCACTTCAGAACATCTAAAGCATGAACAAATATATAGAGTGCCACTTAGATTCATTAGAGTTCTAAAAGCTGTGAACTGACTTATTTTTCATGGTTCAGGAGCCCATTGTTTTTTTTTTTTATCCTTTTGTTTTATCAACTTACTCTCTTTCCATTCTTTTTCAATTTTTGGTGTTTGAATAATAACCATACACTGTATCTGTCTTCCATGTAATCACCCACTGTAGATTGTAGTTTAAGCCTGGTCCAGTAAGGACAAAGTTTAGATGAAGTTGTATTCTCCACCTCCCCCTCCCCCTCCCCCTTTCACTTTAAATTCTGACAACAACAACAACAACAACAACAAAGCCTTAATCCTTAACTAGTCAGGGCCAGCTATATGGATGGATCCTTTTGTGCCATTCTCTGTGATCATAAACCGAATTTGTCTCAGTGTTAAGATAGTTAACCATTCAATACCACTTCCATCACTGTGTTCGGTCTCCCTCTACGTCCTTTCATCCCTCCACTGTCAACTTTCCATTCCTCTGAATCTCAGCCTTCAGTGGCCTACTCTAGACAGACCCAGGCCGTCCAAGGCATTCTTCTCTCATTTTATCTCCAGTTTGCTGTACAGTGGAAAATGTGTTCATTTCTAATCTTATCTCTTTTTTGTGTTACCAGGCATCCATCTTAGCATGCACGTTGCCAACACACATTTTATGAGGATGATGTTTTTTGCGCAAGATTCAATCCTAGAAAGCATTGTTGGCCTCACCATTTTATGTGGAACTTACCTTTCACATATGAGAGATTTTTTTAATTATTATTATTATTTGATGGAAAAGGAATTTTTGAGGTAAAATATGCACAGAAGAACGAGAAATATTCCTAAAATACTAAGAGGAGAAACATCTTTTTCCATAGCTTAAGTAATTTAATCACATATTAGGCTTACTTGGTTGAAGCTAATGCTTGGGAAGGTGTGCTTGTGTCAAAACCACAAGCTAATGATGTGAAATATGTCTTGATCAGGCTTGGGATCTATATTATCATGTTTTCAGACGAATAGACAAGCAGCTTCAAGTCATGACGACTCTTGACCTGCAGGCAAGAATGATATATCTGTGTGTTAATTTCTAGCCCATTATTGAATTGGAACTAACCACTCTTTGATTGTGTAAAAATAGTCTGTTTCTCCTGAGCTGGTAGAATGCCGTGATTTGGAGCTTGCTGTTCCTGGGACATATCGTGCTGGTATGATGAACTTTTTAGAAGACTCAAGTCATTATCAAACCCTAGTTTCTTAGCTAATCCTTTGACTTGGTTTCTCATGCTTCAGATTTTCCAGTGGTAACAATAGCGTCATTTGCACCTGAGCTTGTTGTCATAACATCGAAACAGCGACCCCGGAAATTGACTATTCATGGAAGTGACGGGGAAGATCATGCCTTCTTGCTGAAGGGACATGAAGATTTGCGCCAAGACGAACGTGTCATGCAGGTTATCTATCTTTTGCACGTAGAGATACTTATTATTGTACTTTGTTGTGCTAGATGATGCTATTTGTTTCCATTGCTGGTTTATTGCTAAAACATGTTGGCTGTTGCCAGCTATTTGGATTGGTGAATACTCTGCTGGAGAATTCAAGAAAAACTGAAGAGAAGGATCTGTCTATTCACCGATATGCTGTAATTCCGTTATCTTCAAACAGTGGGTTAATTGAATGGGTTCCTAATTGTGACACACTAAACCAACTCATTCGAGAATACAGGGATGCTAGAAAGGTATATTAAAGTTTATTGGTGGGTATTGGGGGTGGGGTAGGGGGCATGGGGTGTTGAGGTTTTTGAATGCACTTGTTCAATGTGTGGATATGTTATTATTTTGTGGTGAGTCAGCTGCAATTGATGGATTCCTGTATTTCTTATTTCAGATCACCCTAAATCAAGAGCACAAATACATGCTCAGTTTTGCCCCGGATTATGACAATTTACCCCTCATTGCTAAAGTTGAAGTCTTTGATTATGCTCTTCAAAATACTGACGGAAATGACCTGGCCAGGGTATGCAATGAAAATTCATCTTATCAATATTTTTTTCTTCTTTCCCATGGACACTATTTCAATGCACCAAGTTATGTTTTCTGCTAGGTTCTGTGGTTAAAAAGTCGCACTTCTGAGATATGGCTGGAGAGGAGAACAAATTACACAAGGAGTTTAGCAGTCATGAGCATGGTATGTGTTCACCTTGTATTATTGTTTACCAGTCATGAGTATGTTATGTGTTTTGTTGTATCATCTAACTTCTTTCTTAAAGGTCCATTCCATTAATAATAGAACTCCCAACAAATGTCATTATTTCATCATTCTAGCTGACTTGTATGTTTTCACAAACGAACTTGTAAAAAAAAAAATGGAATCATGCAGATAATCCAAAAACCATCGGCTCTCTTTTTCCTTTGAACTTCTCGCAATGATCAAGGAAATGAGTTCTTGATGCATCTAGCTGTTGGATTTCTAAGCTTTAACTCTTAAACAGTGAAGTTGTTGTTGGTCATCTCACATTCTTTTGTCTAGCTTCTTGACCTTGCTTTTTTCTACCAAATAAATAAATGAAAGCTGCTGTTTTGTTTCAGGCCGCCTACATTCCTGTTTTCTTAATTCACTGTCTCTTTATAGTTAATTGTTTGGTTTTTTGAGAGCATGGAAATGATTTAACGTTAATTGCTTTATTCAGGTTGGTTATCTTCTTGGCTTAGGTGATCGACACCCTAGCAACCTTATGCTGCATCGCTACAGGTAGATAATGATTAGAACAAAGCAACGATGGAAAAGTGCTACTATTTGGGATTTTCTCATGCTTATGTTTTGCAGTGGGAAGATCTTGCATATTGACTTTGGAGATTGCTTTGAAGCTTCAATGAACAGGGAAAAGTTTCCTGAAAAGGTACATTCTAGAAAAACCTGCTTTATCATACGATTCCTAATTCACAACTGTCCCCTTTGAATATAAAATGCAGTAGCATGCTTAAAATGATTTCTTCAATGTAGGTTCCCTTCCGTTTGACAAGAATGCTTGTGAAAGCTATGGAGGTTAGCGGTATAGAGGGCAATTTCCGCTCTACTTGTGAAAATGTGATGCAAGTTCTCCGTACACACAAGGATAGTGTTATGGCCATGATGGAGGTATGAATTGATTGTTCTATTTTGTACTTCTGTGTGCCTACTCTGTAGGAAAAGTCAGATTGGATTAATTGCAAGCTTTGAATATCTTCTGAAAATCCACGTATATAGAACAGCAGATGCTGGTGTAAGCAACAGCAACCAATGAGTGTACAAGAAGTTTAAATTTGCAATAGGACAGATGATGCAAGACTATTTATTGTAGGGCAACCAGTTATATTAGTCATTTTGTTAATTTTTAAGAGTTTCAAGTATTGAATTGAATATATCCTGTTCAGTGAGAAAAAAAGGTAAAAGGTTTTTTGGTTGGTTGATATATGATTGATCTGGTTTTCAATGCTACTGCTAAAAATAAAATTTAGATTCTTGTTTATATGACAACGAGGTTAGTGAATCTGGTTCCTCTATTTTTCAGGCTTTTGTTCATGATCCTCTCATCAATTGGCGCCTTTTCAACTTTAATGAGGTCCCACAAATGTCAATGTTTGCCAATAGTCATGTCCCTGCTGTTGTGAATACCGAGGAATCTGCTCCTAGCAGAGAGCTCCCTCAACCGCAACGCGGTGCTCGTGAGAGAGAACTTCTTCAGGTATCATTTTATATCTCAGATGTTAGAACCTTTGCAATAACGTTGTTTGATGATACTTATATATTCAATTGGGTTTATGCAGGCTGTTAATCAGCTTGGTGATGCTAATGAGGTCTTGAATGTACGAGCTGTGGTTGTCATGGCCCGGATGAGTAATAAACTGACTGGACGTGATTTTTCCACACCCTCATTATCTGCAAGCTCTATCCAACATGCAGTAGATCACAGCTCTTTAATTTCTGGAGATATTCGTGAAGTAGATCATGGCTTATCTGTTAAATTGCAAGTTCAGAAGTTAATTATTCAAGCCATGTCGCTTGAAAATCTGTGCCAAAATTATGTTGGGTATGATGCCAATCTGCCTTCCCACCTTTTTTATTCCCTCTTGTTTTATGCACATCTCAAAGTGCTCTATACCAATGCATTTGAAGATGACATGTTGCTTCTTGTTGGTATAACATGCATGGTTTCATTTAAGAAATTTCCCTGTAAATTTCTTCAATTTTCTCAAATCCAGTTTGGTGATAGTAGAACGTAAATATTGTTAGCAGAAATGACAGCTGAACAGAGATGGCATTAAGCACTTGTCTTCACTTTTAATTTCATCCTCGGGTTAATTGACCCTGTACTCTGCCATTTTCATCTTCTAATTTTGCACTGAATGAAAGAACAGCTCTCCAACTTGGGCAGGTTTTGTTAACTAATAATATCTGTGCTCCGCCTTTCAGGTGGTGTCCCTTTTGGTGAGGTGAAGCAACCCTGTTGTATAAACTGTGCATAGCTCAAGCCCGGTAGACCTCAAGAGAAGTAGTCTCCCGTTGGAACGTCTGTATATAGATACAGCTTGAAGAAACGAATGCTGGAAATAATATTGTATATAGTGGAATTGGATTTCAGATGCAGCTTGCATGGGAATGATCTTCGTCGTCCCCACAGTATAGGCGCTGCTATTTATTCTCCCATGTAATCAGTTTACAGTCGAACCTGAACCAATGCAGGCGCAGTAGCTCTGCATTCCATCCTTGTTAATCCACAAGAAATGGAATTTCACGGCCAAGTTCCCTCCCATCAGGTACTTATGTTGTGGCTTGTTGAATTATAACTTGACAAAACCTATTAGCAAATTGCTTCAAATGATTTACGTGACAACCATTTCCATTCATGTGGAAAATTATCAAGCGATATGGGCTGTTATCATTATCTTGATGTATCTAAATGTATTTAATAGCATTTTCAAAGAAGCCATGGGTCTTTTAATGTAATTGCATGACCGCCTAATCTGATACATGCTATTTAACCAGATAATGTGACAAATATGAAGGTTTTCAAGCGTTGAACTCGACAAAAACATTGAATTTTGCTTCTTGAAATTTGAAAATTATGGATATTGACACTGAAGGAATCAAATATTCATCTAAATATCCATAACAGATAATTGCACGAATTAAAAAAAAAAAAACATTCCTTTAAATGTCAAGGAATTTATTGTTGTACTGACAACGATTGTAGCAATATGATGATAACGGGTGGATTCAAGAGATTATTCTTACCTATCAGGTTCTGGCTCAGTAGTGTTGGCGCAGCTCCCCTTCTTTCCCCTTCTTTCGAACTTTGGTTTCATATCTATAATATCTTTAAGATGGTGTTGGTGTTGGCGCAGCTCCCCTTCTTTCGAACCTTGGTTTCATATCTATAATATCTTTAAGAGAATTCCAATTTGCAGCTTGCTACGTTTACACTTCTTTTTTTCTCGCTTTCGAAGATTATAAACTAAACCAATAGAAATTTTACACGCGTGACTGTTTGTTCACATCATTTTATGATATATGTATTATTAATTATTTTAATTCATAATTACTACTACTATACTACTTAATGTGAAAAGTCTCTCATTTTAAATATGATATACTAAAATGTTGATATGGATGAATTTAATTGTGTGCAATAATTTTATTGATTGGTCCATGATCTTAACTATTATGATCCATAATTCACTTAAAATGTCATTTCTCTATCTGATTATATGAAGTTGTAACATGTTTTGTTTGTGTGCGTGTCTTCCAATTTTTAATAAATGTACCAGCCATCAACGTATTAGACATTGCATGCGTCACGCTTCTCCTCTGCTTCAAAATCCCTCAATATTTTATTTTCTTAAAAAAAAATATGGAAATCTAACTATTGGTTTAATGTCCGTCATTAATATTTTACTCAAAATTTATATTAATATAACTGATACAATACCAATTAATTAATATATTTATCTCAAACACCTTGCTTAGAACTCTCAAAAAAAATACGAATAACACGCATGTCTATCCTCCACCTCATAGAGATTAATTAATTCAATACAAATGTTAGTATCATTTTCTTTCATTTTTTTTTTTATAATTCAAAGTAACTGAGCCAGTTTCACAATTAATCTATAAGTACAATGAACAAATAAATCACCGTGAAAGTAACAAGCATGAAAAAAAAAATAACTTGAACATATATATATATATATATAAACAAATCTCTACCCCATTAGTATCATTTTCTTAATAATATGAGAGGAGCCAAATTCAAAAATAAATGCTGCCTCGTTTTTTGTTAAAAAAAAGAACCCGGACTGGTGACTCGGTAGTTGCCTGACAAACTAGGGTGGTGCTACGTGCATTTATTAGTGTTTCCAATACAGAATCATTTTTTCCTATAGTTCATTTTCTAGTTCTAGTTTATTTCTTAAGTACCATATATAGTTATGCAACTCAACAGAATTTAGATAACAGATTTCAGCAAAACCTTGTTCGTGCAGGTAATCCTAATTTTATCTCGCAATCTAATAATGCTTGCTATCTCCAGCAACTGCCCAGTTCAGAGATGTTTGATTTGCCTAGCATATACATATAACAATGTAAAGAAGTCTATAAGAAAATTTTATAACCAAAGACATTCATCTCCAATTATCTCATGCGAATACAAGGGGAAGGAAATGAGATTGGGGCTACTTGAATTTGCTTCCTTGCGAGTTTCGGCATAGGTAATGAGCAGGTTGAGTGCTCACAAGACTAGAGAGACAATGGCTCATAAAAGTTGAGAAGTGGTGATTTGTCTCAAATTGAAGTTCTTGCGCACAAATGGACATCTGGTATTGTGCTTATTTTGCCTAGAAACATTACAAAGCATCAGATAATAAACAAGCTGAAACTGCATTAAGAACCTCGTTGACAGGGATGTGGCTTGAGCAAGGGACATGTCATACCATTCAGTATTACAGAAAAACTAAATTGACTGTTCTTCAGTTTCCCAAAGGAGATCTAGACCTGCAAGAAACATCATTTAGAGTTGGATACATGTTTCTCAGCCGTTATTGTGTGCAGGTCTGTTCTTATACTTGCTCTCCATCAGGGTCAGTAGGAAATCTGTAAAAATGTGCTCATAATCTGGCATTTTCCCATACCCTACAAATGGATTTAAAAACTCGTTTAATCACCTGTGCGCCCTAAAAAAATACTGTAAAACAGAGGCAAGCATTTATAACAAACTTTATTGAAATAGAACGCATCAAGCGCCATAATTTGGGAAGATTCAAGAGAACATCAAGAGGCATGTCAGGCAGAGACGAGCATCATATTCCAAATTAAAAACTTGAAAGATAGAATACTTGAGTAAATGTTATATACTTGCCAGGAAAGTAATTGATGTCTATCACGTAAAAAACATCTTTTGTCCCATGCTCTCGGATCATATCTACATTAAACAATCGGAGTCCCTAGAAAATGCAGAATATGGTAGCTAAGAGTAACAGCAAACCAGATATATATAACGCTTCACCAACCACAGAGCTCAATAAAGTGAAAATATATATAAAAAAGAAAAGAGAAAAGACAGAGAACATTGATCTACCAGCCGGCGACGAAGCTCCCTTGCAAGCTTCTCCAGTAAAGGAAGGGGAGGAAGTTCTGCGAGATCCACACAAAGTTATTGTAAGGGAGATACTAAGGCCTACAAAGAAACAGTTAAGCCAGTTCTCTCCATAACCAGAACAATCACTTTTACTGAAACAGGACATCAGTAAGAATCTGTTTTCAATCATATTCTACATCTCTAATAATAAACCACACGGTCAAAGGCCCATGCTAAAACTCGGTGCTTCAGTAATACAGTTAAGCCAGTTCTATCCATAACCGGAACAATCACTTTTACTGAAACATGACATCAGTAAGAACCCGTTTTCAATCATATTCTACAGCTCTAATAATAAACCACACGGTCAATGGCCCATGCTAAAACTCGGTGCTTCAGTATTTATTCCTCAAAGGCATGAAATGACATATCTTAGTAAGATGTGAATAAATAAATTGGTTACAAAACTGATGCCAAATGAATCCTTAGAAATAAGAAAGAAAATCGTAATGTTTAGAACCTGAAACTGAAAAGTAAAATGTTTCGAAGAATCTCACCAGCAACAGAAGGGTCAAGGTCTGCATCATCTGCAGAAGCTGCAGCAGATGAAACCCTCGGAAATCGAAAAACACCTTCAACTTTTGATAGCTCTTGCTTCGTAACGTTAGGTAGAGAGAATCGTCGTACAACCTTTATGGCTTCACCAACAATATAAATCTTGAAAAGAACACCACCTAGCATGAGAAGATTAAAAAAAATCAAATTAAGAAAGAACACTGATGGGCACATCAAGAATTATTTTCATGCATTAGTTGGAACATACCATGATTAACAAACTCTTGCAACACTAAGGGTGGTTCAAGTTCTGAAAGGGAGAATTGATCATAAGCAAGAAACAATTCATGTGACTTGGCAGTTCCATCCACAACTAGTGGTTTTACGACTGAAAATATTAACACAAGGAAAATTAATTAAACAACACTGGGTAAGGAAAAAACATGCAGACATTTATTAAATTGCATGGAACATCCAACTGGTACTAAAATAATTCCAAGGTTGATCACTATGGATTTATCAACTTAAGGAAAGGAACCTGATAAACTCAGCCTTGGAAATTTGGAGAGACTAGCGATAGACATCTGTTAGTTTGCAAATAGAAAAGAAACACTACCTAGTGGCAGCTTTAATCCAGCGCTGGTGACTTCATGAGGGATGGATGATGGATCGTTATTAATTACCATCTGCCTTGGAACACAGACCTTGCCTACAGAAACAACAATAAATGCAAATCTGGTCAGCATTACTGAATTGCTTCTTCCATGTGACTTCTAGTTCAGGAAGCTGGAAGAGAAGGGTGTCCCACAATGAGGATAAAAACAGCAGAAGATTACCATAGCAGTCAGATAAGTTGAGATTAGTCACATCATTGAGCATGGACTGCCGATTCAGTAGCTGCTCTATAGCATCTGGAGGATCGAGGACAGCTACTTCAGGATTTTTTTTCCTGTAATCCTTCAAAAGGAAATAGTATATATATAAAAGGCAAAGATAAACTCCTTTCCCAGGGCAGGAACAGAAAAAAAATTAGAGAAAGAAGATACAGTACAGAAATTAGACAAATATATAATGGCTGAGACAAATAGCAACTATCAGTGAATTGAGGCTTCTGGTAGGCATTAAACCATAATTGTAATGGTTTAAACCATTACAAAATAGCTAAACCATTGGCTGTAATAAAAACAACAGGTATAAGCTGTACAGATTAAACTAAAGCGTGAGAACCCTTATATTGCAATTCATCTATGCCAAGTACCAGTTATGCAAGAGCACAGACCACTGATTACCTTAATAACCACTCAAATCTTTTTTATAGAGAAAATCTGATAGGAAAAGATATTTAAATGTGCACACTACACACACTATGGAGACAAGGAAAAGGTTAAGAGACAGGTTATTTAAATACACACATTGTAGCATCAACTTTAATTGATCATTATAAAAGAAAGTGTACTTCAAGACCTGCTAGAGGCACTTACTATAGTTAAGACACTGAGAAGTTTAAATGTATTGTTCCATTAAATTATCAATTGCAAAGACCAATGTTTAATAAGTCTAACAAGCCAATAAATCCTGGCAGCAAAAAGTGCAGAAACTTCGAAAAGAGATGAATCAAACATTGCAACTAAGCTCGCCAAACTTAAAAGCTCATCCAGATTGATCACAGAAGTAAAATCCTTGCTTGTTAGAGTTCTCGAGAGACTGACTTCAAACATCTGGTCATGATCCATGCTGGGATGAGATGGGAGTGCAAAGCTCTGCACATTATGTCAGAGTAAAAGAGTCTACAGGTTCAAGAGGGTAAATTTGTTTTTTCAATGATTTTCCTCCAATTCATGCTTAATCCCCAGCGCATATGGATGGATTTATTGTACATCAATTTATATGTTGGGCATTGAAAAACTCTGGTTCGTTCATTATACAGTATTCAAACTAGATGCAAAATTACATTAAGAGATCAGAATTCGATGACAAACCTCAATAGCTCCGCACCAATCCTTTCCCAACAGCTGCAAGGAAGATAAACTAATCAGATACTTGTACTAGGTTTGGTAGGACATGAAGATCATATCTGTAAAAAAAGAAGAAGCTCGCCTACACACAGTCTGATCAGAAATTCAAACGATTAACCCGAGGTAACCAAGAAATGCAAACGAAAACGCTATTCAATCATAAAAATATATATATATATATATATTCAAAAAATGTAATAATGAGAGGACAAGGAAATAGAAAAACCCAACACTAACCTTGTGCAAAACAACATCGAATGTAATAATGAGAGGACAAGGAAATAGAAAAACCCAACACTAACCTTGTGCAAAACAACATCGAAGGGACCTTGATCCAGCAATGGCCTGTTTAGATCAATAGCAACGAACAATATTCCCTTATTTCTGCACCAGGCACAGAAATTTGTTTATAGTTATGGAATGCCTTATGATAAGGAGGCAACATTTTGGAAACTTGACTTATGAGAGTATCAAGAATTTCCTTCATCCAACCGATGCAGGCATTTCGAAAGATCTTTTCTTTCTTTCAACCATAACAGGAATTAACTTCATCAAGTACAATGACAGAAAAGAGTGTGCGTGTGTTTTTTTTTTTTGGAGGGGCGCAGTGGCCTGAAACTATTCTAAACGAGCTGAATTCACAGTAGTTTTTTCAGCACAAATAACTACAGACAAAATAAAACCAAGTAAAGTATGAAGTTGCAGCCACGTGTTAGGAATATCATGAAATTATAGAAATGCAGCTTATCAGAATATTATGATAGGCACAAACACAGGGAAAAAAATAGAAATGGATAGATAACAGGAATAAAGCTGTAAAGTTGGCAACAAGAGATGACATCACGTAGCTATTTCTTAAAACTAGTTTATTCACACAAAATGCACAGGAATATATAATTGACAGAAATTGTGTACAGTCTTAACATTTCTAAACTAAATAATAAAGTACCAAACATTGACTTTATGTTCATTGAAGAAAAGTCCAAAGAGTATATATTGTGGAATATTCCCAACAATTTTTTTCTTTAATTTTTCTAAAGAATCCAGATACCCAGGAGTGAAAGCATAAATGATAAGTCAAGCAAAACACACGTCCAGCGTCTGTCCTCGAAAAGTAACCCCTGGATGCTTAACCACTTTTATTTGCCCGAAAGTTTTTTTTTAAAAAATTGATTTTTATAAAAAGTAATTTTTTAAAAAATAAATTATTTTTTAATATTTAATAATATCTTAAAAAAATTAAAAATTATTTTTAATTTTTTACTGTATTATGAAAAATTAATTAGAAAATATTTTATTTTAAAAAAATAAAAATCAATCTTATAAATAAAAAAAATTAATTTCATAAAGTAATAAAAAAATAGAGGCCAAATCTCATAGATAAAAAAAATTAAATGCAAATAAAAATAAAAAAATAAATTTAGAAATTATTTTAAATAAAAATAGCAATAAAAATAGAAATTAAATCTTGTAAATAAAGAGTTTTAATTAAAAAATAAAAATTAATATAAAAATATAATGTTAAGGGATAAAATTAAAGAAAAAAATTAAATAAAATATATAATAATTAAATATTAATAAATAAATTTGATATAATTAATAAATAATAAGATTTTTTTAATAATTTTTAGAAAATATTTTATGTTTAAAATAAAAAAAGTTAAATTAAATTTTTATTTAATTAAAAAATATTTTCTAATGATTAATTTTTTTAATTATAAATAAATATAAAATATAATTTATGAAATTGATTTTTTTTAATGTAAACAACATTTACCTCCACCATTTTATTTTTTATAAAAAAAAATTTAATTTATAAAAAACACCTTTTCCAATCCAACCGGCCTAAATGCTTAGTTCGTCATTATTTTTAACAGAGACAACATATCCCTCCGCCACATCAAAACCCCGCAAGATGCAATAAAAACCAAATTCCAGCTAAAAAACAAGGTCACCAAAAAAGGGTTCACAGCCCAAAAACTAAAAGGCAAAAAAAAAACAGTAAAATTTACAAAATTTCAAGAATTCCCCGACAACCCATTTCAGGTATAGAAAAACCAAGCAGACACCCCAAAAAAGAACAAGCAAGCCTTCACACCCGCAATCAAGAGTTACAAAAACCTTCACACCCACATAAATCAAAAAAAAAAAAAAAGTTACAAAGAAACACATATATGTAAATAAAACTAAAACTTGATATCAAGATGTACAAACAGCGAAATGTAAACAGTGAATAATGTACAGTGAGATTTTACCTGGCTAAAACTTCAAGCTTTGGCTGCAAAAAACTCTTCTTTTTCTTTGATGTTAAAGCATACCCAACCACCACCAGTTTCTGTGGCTGCTGTATAGATAAAGACAACGACCTCACTTTCTCCTCCTCTTCCTTTTCAGGTGGCATTTCTCCGTGTATCCTCATAGCCCGCAAAACCCTCTAATCACAACAAGATCAAATTTTTGCTTTATGGGTTCTCTCTATTTACTCTTGTTTTCTTAAAAGATGGAACCTTTTTTGGTTGCAGAAAGATTGTGTAAGTTGATTAGTAATCCCTAGAAAACAAGAAAAGATAAGAACCTGAATGATTTCAATATTTCTTTTCGAGTATCTTCGTGTGTTTTTTGTTTTGCGTTTCTCTCTGTTTATCACTGTCAGGATACAGAGAGAGGGGTGGCGCTGGGTGTCGGTACAGTGCGTGTTTCTTGCAGGGTATAGATTGGTCGTTGCTACACACATGTGTAGGCGTGCCTCGGTCTGTCTTTTTGAATTAAAAGTTGCAGAGATTATGGATTTTTGTAGGAATATTAAATTCAATTTGCAGAGGGAGAGAGTGAAGTTGGAGAGAGGTGATTTTGCTTTATTTTGGAGCGTGGATTGCCCAAGCCCGCTTCTTGTTATATATAAGAAAGACTTGGACTCGGAAGGTTGCCTTTTCTTATATTCTCGTTTTACCCCTACTGGCTGTTACTCCACCAAACTCCAGAACGAGCTCAAAAACAATAAATGGTGGAAAGTTTATTTGTGATTTGGTGGTATGGTTTCTTCAGATTTTCAGTTCGATATCATGGGATTATTTTTAAAGAAATTTCTGTATTATAGAACAATAAAAAGATTGATAAAAAGTAGCGTATGACAACATAAGAAACAAATATAAGAAAACAAAAACATGTTTGATCTCCTAAAATAGTGTATATAAGAAAAAATATTGTTTCTTCGTTGTCTTCTTACACTCCTGTGGAGGCAAAATTTGTTTTAGGGACAAATGGTACGACTCAAAAAAATCACCATGTAATCGAAGTGTGATGTTAGTTTAATTTTTTATATATTGTTTTATATGTAAATCTACTTTATTTGTTGTTATTTGATCTAAAATTCAGATTTAATTTCTAAATTAAATAAATATAGTTTTTTATCTTTAAAAAAATAGATTAAACTTTCTTTAATTATTAAATTCAACATAAAAAAAAAGCTTGTTCACATTAAATCAAGGGGTTTTTTCTTAAAAAAAAAATATCTTTAACCTGACATCATTTTAGTTGCCATGGCAGCTAGCTCCATTGATTTGCTTGCTCTCTGAATTGGATCTTCAGTGCAATATGCTAACAGGCAAATGTAGAAGATTAATAAAAATTTTGCAATATACTACTGATTCTTATTCTTTATAGCCTGCACATAATAATAATAATAATAATAATAATAATATGCTTTGTATCCCATATAAACAGAATAGCCAATTTGGCAGTATAATATATTAGAAGATTACCTAGTTAGGATTATTCACTTCTTGACGGATTTTCTTAATTAAGAATCCATTAAAGTTAAACATCAGCAATTAATTATTTAAATGGGGCCTACAAATTTTATTCTCCCCTATTTTTTTATTTTTTATTTCTGGCTTAGAGAATAGATTATTCGAGTCTCTTGATATCCAAAAAAAAAAAAATGCTTTTCCGTGCTAGGAATATACTTGCAGAAACATGCAGAGAATATGCTTGGCAGGCCAAACTAGGTCTCAAATGTGTCATCGCTTGACCAACAGAGGGGGGGATGGAGGGATGCTATTTAATGAAATTTAATTTATAGATAAATAATTTCCTTAATCTTAAAATCATCGACCAAAGTGTCTCTAATCAACTACTCCATAGTTCGTTCTTCCTTCCTTCCTTCCTTTTTATTTAAATAAATTTGTTCTGTTGTCCTCGTTATGCAAGTTTGAGTCGTTGATTTACAAGTCAATATTCTATTTACAAGTCAATATTTACTCACGCTAGTATGCTAGAAAAAAACAAAACAATACACTTAAAATGGTATTTCCATTATTTATTTTAGAAAAAGATAAATTCTTGACGCCTGCAGAATTTTGAAAATATTTACGAGGTCTGGTTATTGAGCCTCGTGAACCATTCTTACTAAAATAGTTCCAACCGCATGCCATCCCTCCTCTTTTTCACTTGACTGGATTTTATTTTTTTTTGTTATAATTGCTCCGTCTACTGTACCTTCACAAAAATATTAATGGACTTCAAACCCTAAAAAAAATGTGTGTGTGTGTGTAATAGCATGATGCTTATGCGTTATATTAATTTGTATTTATATATGTTGTAATGAGATTCGATCTTAACCTTTTCGGTAGTGTCCACTAAGAACCATATCCATGCAAGAGAGTATTGGATTCCTAATCATCTAAAACAACAAAAAGGTATTTGAGATCATAATGATATTGCGAATTAAGAATTGGATAATATTTTAACAGCACATGGAAGTTGAAGCTGTAGATGTCCCCTGGATATTGATCTACTAATTTAATTAGGTTTAGTGGGTCTCGGTTTCATACTATACAGGGAATTAATTAAGAATTGGATACAAGAAGAAGGGAACATTATCCACTTCGGCTAAAAGGAGCTTCTCATCTTTGATCACACCATACACTTGTGCTAATTAACAACTGGTTAGGTGCAGGAGCACCTTATCGACTCAAAAACAATAACCAGTTCAAGATATAGCATGTTTTGGTCCGAAAATATTTTATAATATATGTGGTGGAGATTATCAGTCAATCTATTTGTACAGTAACAAGATCAAGCCCCGAACGCTAAAACGAGTTCATACGAAACGGGTTTGGTTGGCTGATTCATGATTTGATGGTTTGGTATGAGCAACAGCGGATCCTGTGAGTTGTGTTTTTCTCGGAAGTATACGCGTTAATTTGGAACTGAAATATCCTCTTGGATCTCTTGTTGTAGCTGCATGCAAATGTTTCCTATGAAAAATACTTGTAAGTTGTAAATTGCATGATCCTCCCATGCTAGCTAGCTATAGGGTTGCAATGCCTGCAGGGCCAGGATGTGTCTTCACTTACACGTGAGTTGTAATAGCTACAGCAGATTGAAAAGAAAGAGCTTGCAATGTTTGGTCACATGCCTAACCTGCGCAGATGTCTCCAGTTATCCGAAATTGGACTAGCTCAACAAAAGATATGAAATGGTTAGTACAGAACACCAAACCTAATGGAAAAAATTTAAAAGGTTTGAATCGCAGTTGATGCAAACGAAATGTACCAACAAATTAGGCGTCGCGCGTTTCCTGAAATGATTTAATTAAGTGCTGGAGTTGGTTTCCTAAGAGATCATGTCGATCTGGAATTGCCGGAGTATTTACTGGCTCACACCTCCATTTTGGACATTGGTTGTGTGAATTACAAGCAATGAAAAGTTATGAGGTTACTTGGATTAATCAGCTTAACATGAGCCAACTCAAAATAATGTTGTTGTTTTTTTAAAAAAAAATAGATTCTCGGGTCAACTATATTAATACATGTTTCGGACTATTTTTTTTTATATACATGTTTTAATTTCTTACATGGCAAATCATGTTTCTAAAAACATATTTTTTTTATTATTAATATAGATATTCAGGTTAATTTATATGTATTTTAATTAATTTTTTAAATTTTTAAATTAAAAATTATATAAATTTTTAATAATTATTATATAAACAACTAGAGTAATGAAATATGAAATTACAAAACAAAATTAAACTTTATAATTCCAAGCTGTCATCACTTACCACCTCCTACATGATTCCAAAGAACATGACTTCGCGTGTATTGGTCGGAGACAATTAAATCACGGCCACAACAAAAGAATAATGCGATGCACATGAAACACGACAAGTGTTTGGGGGGAGATGCATTGACTCTTGTGCATGGTAATCATTTGATAGCTCAAAGTCATGGAAGCACTATCTTTTTTTGAACGTGTTCGAACTGTAGTGCAGAGACAATTTGGGAGATTTTACTTTAATAAAAGCCATGGACTTCTGATTCCGTATGAGCATCCCTCCATTAAAGCCCTTGTTCCCACTTCATTGTGGTGGGGATAATAGGGAGACAGGAAACACATTTACCTTTGGAGTTTTCGTTCATTAAATTTGCTGGTGTCCAGAACTGGACGGTAAAATAAGGAAGGAGAGGTTTGTATCACAGGGTTTCAAATTTTGATTATTTCTTTTCTTAAAATTATTACTTTTGATGATTTTTTAAAATTATTTTTATATGTTAATACCAAAAATAAATTTTAAAAAATTAAAAAATATATATTATCTCAATAAAGTTTAAAATAAAAAATACTTTAAAATACTACTGGCCACGCTACCAAGCAAATCCTAGATTTTGCTCAGGGAGAGGAGGGGAACGAGTTAGAATTGGGCCATTTGGCTGATGTGGCCTTTTAAGGGCGAAGTAACGGCCGGCCTGTTGGTCTGCTACTACCACGACCATCTTCAAATTCAAATTTACCTCTAGTCAACTGGCAACCCTTCCACCGACTTTTGCCACAAATTTCAAATTTAAAATGTAAACTTTTCCTAATTACTTCTAAATTATAATTACTGCAAGAAATTAATTTCTAATTTTTAAAGCACGAGTGCCACGTTATTATTATAATAAAGTAAAGTAATCAAATTTCTTTTATATACAAAGAAATTCACCGCACTCTATTTTAAATTCATACTCATATATTAAATATCTTTCTGTGGCTTTTGTTTTAAAACGACCCGAAAAAAAAATTAGTTAACCAATTAGTTTTTGTTTTTTACATTATATCCGATAAATAATGTTTTGAACTTTAATTATATAGAAATTAAAATAATATATTTTTTATTTTTTTTACATGAAAAAACCAATCTGACAGTAATTTAAAAAAACCCGACCACAGCCAACAATAATTTTAAAAGCAACAAGAAATATCTTCAAAGACAAAGTTTTCTTTAAAAGCAATTTTAAAAGTTTTCTCGCAAGTGAGGTTCTGGCCTAGCGGTGGAAGGAGTTTGTCCTCTTTCTCTGCACCTGGGTTCGAACCTCACCCCCGATCATTTAAAAATGCATTAAGTTAATTTTTTTATTTTTTATATTAATATACAAAATAATTAAAAAATGCTAAAAAACATCAATTTAATATTTTTTAAACTAAAAAAATTAAAAAAATAATTACTCCTATATCACCCCACATGTCATCATCCCACCTACCACCATTGTCGTCATATCACAATCAATGTGATGACTGCCACCACAGGATCATAACTATACTATGGTAATGGTATCTATCATGCCACCATCAAAACCACTACAAGCTATTATTATAAAATAGCAGCTAACATCAACAGGGTCGTGGCTCAGCGGTTATTGGGTCTGTTTGCTTTCTTTTAAGTGTAGGTTTGAGTTTCTAGAAATAGGGTTGACAAGTTGTTCCCTTCATGTTTTTGTTGGGTCCTTTTTATATGGTATATCTATCATCCCTGCGGTGCCTTACCTGTTCATTGGGCTTGCAGGATGTTCAATGAACCGTGGGATTAGTCGTGGTGCGCGCAAAACCACTACAAGCTATTATTATAAAATAGCAGCTAACACCAGTAGGGTCGTGGTTTGGTGGCTGTTGAGTCTGCTTATTTTTTTTCAAGTTTAGGTTCGAGTTCCTAGAAGTGGGGTTGACAAGTTATTCCTTTCATGTTTCTACTAGGTCTTCTTTGTACGGTATGCCTGTCACCCCCGCGGTACTTACCTGTTTATTGGGCTTGCAGAATGTTCAGTGGACCGTGGAATTAATCATGGTGCGCGCAAGCTGGTCGAACATCCATGTTAATAATAAAAAAAAAAAATTAGCAGCTAACGTCGATTTATTATTGATACAGCTATTATTATATAAAAATAAATAAATATAGGAAATTGAATCAAACGGACCCTAATTTTTATACCTTATATTTTATTTAAAGTCCTCGTAAATTGATTTTAAAAATTAAAAACTAGGGTATAGTTCTGTTGTATACGAAAATGCATGTTTGATGTTGATTTGATGGAAAAAGCAAACATATTCAGTATAGAAAAAGAAAAAAAAAAATTAATCATGGTGCGCGCAAGCTGGTCGAACATCCATGTTAATAATAAAAAAAAAAAATTAGCAGCTAACGTCGATTTAGTATTGATACAGCTATTATTATATAAAAATAAATAAATATAGGAAATTGAATCAAACGGACCCTAATTTTTATACCTTATATTTTATTTAAAGTCCTCGTAAATTGATTTTAAAAATTAAAAACTAGGGTATAGTTCTGTTGTATACGAAAATGCATGTTTGATGTTGATTTGATGGAAAAAGCAAACATATTCAGTATAGAAAAAGAAAAAAAAAAGTGAGAGAAAATGACATCACATGGTGATTTTAACAATTTTTTTATTTGCGAAACCCTACTTTTTATAAAATATAATTTATGAATCTAGATAAATAAATAAAATTCCAATTATTCCAGATTTTTATAAAAAATATATATTTTAATTTTAATTCAAAATTTATTGTATAAATTTCATCATTACGCTATTTATTCCATGAACAAATTTTAACATTTTTTGTGATGGAATAACATCAAATACATATCATGAGTGTGATTTGAATTTTATTTATTTATTTATTTTTATGCAGGCAACGTAACTAGAGAGATCAGGAGAAATAACTCCATGGTTCATTATATACTTTAAGAGATGGGTTTAACATGTTTGGTTGCAGTATCCTATAAGAATTGTTGTATCTCTGATTCATCAAACCATCAGGTTTTTACCAAGAGGATACTTCTCATTAAAGATTGGAGAATAACAGAAGAAGATTCGAGATTCTAATTAGAATTTGATAAGCTGAGATTTAATATTCCATTTTGATAAGTTCAATTTCTAAACCACCCCACATCAGTTTTGAAAAAAAAATAAACTCATAAAATTTATTTTAAAAAAACCAATGAAGAATATTTTACTTGCTAAGTCACGTGATATACTTCAACTAGCTTTGGCTAATTCATTTGCCTCCATGTATGTGTGTGTATATATATATATATATATTGCAATGTTATATACTCGAGTAAAGATATAATTTTTTTTTTGTATCTTGAAGTTTTAGCTTATGCAAATTTCTAATAAAATATATAAGAAAAACTTGAATAATTATTTTTATTTTTTTAAAATTAATATTGAATAATAAAATTATAAAAAATTAATAAGACAAAAAAACCACTCGGTAATCTAGAATATTAAATAAAAAATAAGTAATATAACATGAAAAAACAATAAAATCTAATTTTTAACAAAACTAACATTGAATAATAATAATAATTATTACTATTATTATTATTACTATTACTCTTCACAACATACTAATATTATTAAAACTATCATTATTATTGTTGTTGTTGTTGTTATTGTTATAATTATTATTATTATTACCACAATATTGCTACTAACTTTGTTGCTCGCCCTCTGCTGGGCATGGAGAATTAGTTTCAGCTGATATATAAAGCATAAAAAACTAAATATATATTTAAATATTTTTCATATAAAGTAGCTAGTACATGTAATCATAGCAGCTTGATACAAAATTATAAACATCGTTTAATTTGAGAATTAACCAAGACAAAAGGTTGCGTGGAGAATAATCAAATCAACCAGATCATGGTGCAGCAAAAAGGTTGCATGGAGTTTTCTTCACAGTTGTAGTCCAATAGCAGGCAAAAAGCTACAGCGCTAACATGGCATTTAGCAAAAATGATCATATTGTGTATGACGTTGTTTTCTTGGACTTCCACTGCTTCTGCAACAAAAATAGAGCCATTTATGTACACGAATGAAAGTGGTAATATATTTACGAACAGTTTTGAGTGAAGAAGAGCTTGAAAACGGGCAAAACATCCCTTCCAAAAAAGGGCAGTGGTGGCTTAACTTGTCGAGGCTGATTCAAGAGATTATTGAAAATTGTGTTCAGCACATAGTTAAAGAAGAAGACAATCTGGTAGGTATCATATGATTGACGATATAGATGAAGGGTCAAAACAACAAAATAGATGAGATGGTCAGTAATAAACAAAAGAACGTGCAAACAGAAAATGGCTGCATGCACCTTATAGAATTTCAAAGGGTCCATTCCAATCCCAACAACGTAAATTATTAAGAGGAAAGAAAGAGTAAGTCGATCACTGTTAAATTGAAAATGTGGCGGATGCAGGAAGTCATTTGAAAAGTAAAAGCGTTGCAAGTGAATTGCTAGATACTGCAAGCTAAATCTATTTTTTCCAAGCAGTTGTGAAGCTCAGAAATTGTGAAGTGATCTGTCAAGTGATACACTGCAAAAGCTATTGGCTTTGGAAGCTGAACATCAATGGGTTCAGCACAATGTATATTGGAATGCGGTGATTGCAAACTAACATTGTTGTGAGGGTGAGAAGGGGGAAACGAGGCATCCAGAGAGCAGTCAGTAAGGCTCGTGAATTAGTCGGAAGCAGCACCCTGCCCCGGTGGGTTGACCTAGGACCAAAGCCGGGTTGAAAGAAAAATAAAAAAAGAAAAAACTCAGTGTAACCCGGCTAACCCAGTAGGTTGATCTGGCAAGACCCGATTAAAACCTGGTTGACTTTTGGTTTTTTTATTAAAATAATGTCGTCTTGATTTTTTTTTTTTAAAATAAAATTTAACTTGGCCGACCCAGTCAAAACTTGGTGAACCGGTTAAAACCTGAAACCCGGGCCTTGGACCGGGCCGGCCACCAACCCAATCTTAAAACTATGATCAAAATGCAAGTGTACTTGAGGGCAAGAAGAAATGTGTGAACAATATAAAATCAACAAAAGAGGAGGCCAGTCTGAATCAATCAGCAAATTAAAGAAGGAATCAGTTATATTGAGTATTTGCAGTAGAGTATGGCTTTGCTGAGAACACAAACAAACAAGGAGGCAACAATGGGCCCTTTTCTTTTTCCACCAAAGAACCTGCCCAAAATTGGCGCCTGCTCTCACCACAGGGCCACGACAAGCATGCATAACCCCACGATAAGAACAGCAACGAAACAGCCCTTAGAAGCCTAGAACCTTTTTTTTTTTTTTTTAGCAGAAGGACCCTGTAAAATTTTGTTCATCAATCCATCACTCCTAATGCAGCAAGCAATCCACAAACAAAAGCCTATGTCAACACTCTAAAGGCAACAGACAACTCAAGGCCTAACAACGGAATCATGTTAATCATTAAATCGAAGGTTAATTTCAGAGGGAAATGAAGAACAAAAGTACCTGGAAAAGTAGCTTATCAACAGAGCAGCCAAACAGCCCCAACAAACCCAAATATTCCTGATAAAAGACAACAAAACAAATAAAAGGATCCAAAACAACCAGGAAGATGAAAAAATGAAATGAGCACCGATTAAAGGAATAAAAGGTGGAAAAAAAGACACCAGCCGAGCACAAACAATGTCAGAAACTGAGTTGATAAAAACCAAAGCCACTACTACACCTTAGAGAGAAGCACACTGGGGAAGAAAAGCCAAGACGAAATGCAATTGAAGGCATGAAAATCCTGCCTGACACAAAATAAAATCAAATAAGTACTACATGAAGTGGCAACACAGCAAGCAGAGTTCAACGAAAACGGCAACTGAAGCAAGTTAAACAACCAAAACAGTAGGGAAAGAACAAACCTTTTACAATTCAACAACATTAGAGACCCAAAGAGAGGCTTGATGAACTAAAATCCCCTAACTAAATTTCTACACCTCTAGAAAACGTCCAATCCGATCCAATAAGCAGTAACACCCCTAAGGACCAAGTACCCAGCCTGGTGTACAATAAATGCAAAGTCATCGTCGCACGCCATCTTTTTCTGAACCAGGACTCACAACCAAGCAAAATCAAACCCAGCCACAGCCAGAACCAAAAAAAAAAAAAAAAGCTCCTCTGGAATTCCAAGCCTGCAACAGGAGCCTCTGCAGACTAAAAAAAGCCGCCAACGCCGCCGCTAGTCTGAGCCAAGACTCACAACCACCCAAAATTAAACCCAGCTATAGCCAAAACAAAGACAGACGGATAAAAAAAATTGGCCTCCTGGATTCCCAAGCCTGCAACTGGAGCTTCTGCAAGCAAAAAGAAACCAGAGGAAAAGAAAACGCAGCTCACCCAGCTCCCAAATGAAAAGCAAGAGAAAGAGCCGCCAACGCCTCCCGCGATCCAGCTGGACCCAGGCACTGCGAGAGCTGGGAGAACAAACCGAAGCCAAAAGAAGGCAACGGCACCCCATCCGAGAGCTCCAAACCATGTTGCATCCAAGACCAAATCACCCCTAACCTGGGAGACGAATAGGCGCAAAGGCAAATCAAGCATGTCCACGGTGCAGAGAGTTTGGATCCACTGTGCCAACGCGATGCTTTTCCCACGCGATTTTGATTTCTTGTAATAACAATAATTATTGATTATGTTATTATAAATATTATTGTTGCTAACATTAAAACTAATGTTGGTACCCCTAACATCGTAACTATAATAATAATAATAGTTATTATTATTATTATTAATATCATAACTATTATAATAAATTATTAATATTATTATTATTATCACTAATTTTACCACAATGACTACCATTATCATCATTATTATCATTTTATCATCATCATTATTATTATTACAAATATTATTATTATAATTATCACTATTATTATTATTATTATTATCATAATAAATAATAATAATAATTATTATTAGTGATAGTATTATTAATATTATTATTATTGTTATTATTATTATAACCACTATCATTATCATTACATTATTATTATTATTATAACAAAAAAAAATTTTAAAAAATTGAATAATAAAACTAAAAACCATAAAAACTCTTGATAAAAAAGCAAAGGAAAAAAAATAAATTTGAAAAAAATATTATTATTATTGAAAAAAATTATAAATTTGATATAAAGGATAAAATTAAAAAATATAAAACTTTCTACAAAATAACCAAAAATAATAATAATAAATTAAAATTACAAGGACTAAATAAAAAAAAACATTATTTGTGTAAATCAGAATTAAATGGTTAAATTTTTTATAAAAAATAAAAATAAAAATAAAAATAAGAAATTAAAAGAATAACATGAAAAATAAAATAAATAAGAAATTATAATTGAATTATGAAATTTAAAAAAATAAATAAAAACAAATAAAAAATAAAGAGTAAAATTGAAAATTAAACAACAAATAGGATAAAAATAGGACAATGATATACTTAACTGTTAGAAAAAGAAAACAAAAAACAAATGATTATTGGTAAAATATAACCACTAGACACCTACATGCATCACGTTATATGGAAAAAAAAAGTCGGCTTTGCATGCAGTGATACAAAAAATAACCAGATTTAATTATCAAACGATGTTATATGCATCATCTAAATAGTGCAATTCCACCCTCTCGCAGGCTTATTTAAAATATCTGCCAGCATATTTTTAAATAAAAAATTAAAAAAAAAACATGAAAAAAATACTAAAACATTCTCATAAACCTATTGTTTTTTGTTTTTTTGTTTTAATTGTTAAAAACATGCTTTCAGTATACATATACATGAATCATAAAAAAATCATAAACACTCTTACTCAACAGCTCAGTTATTATTTTTATCCGGAGGAAAAATAAATAATTATATTATTAAAAAATATAAATTTTGTTGATTGATGAGGTAAAATATGTTTTTAATGACTAATAGGCTGATGGAAAAGACCAACAAACCTCCCCGCCTCAAGACTTAATTTTTTCTCGCCCAGGAGTGAAAGAATAATTTCCTTATAGCAATTCGGGGCAAAATTGCATGTAGAACTACAATGAAACTCCCATGTTTTTTAGCTTTTATTTTAATAATAAAGATTTTGAGGAAAGATAAATTCAGGATATAATAATTTTTCAGGAATAGATTAAATGTAATTAAATATGTAAAAAGTTGAATAGAAACACCTTTAAAAATATAAGCATATGTGAAGTGATTTTCTTTGAATACTGTTATTTAGGTTGACCTCCTCGCAGCACTTTTCACCGTAACAATGTTGTGTTTATTTTATTTTACTGTATAAATCTTATTTTTTTGTGAGATTGAATTTTATAATTTTATTTAATTTATTTTTTATAAAATTTTCATGATTCTTAGATCACATGCAACAATGTTATGCCTTGCTCTTTTTTTTTTTACTTAATTTTTCTTTGGTGTCATAGTTAAATGCTGGGATTATTAAAAATTAAGATTTATATATGTTTTTATTAAATTATTTTATTTTTATTATTTAAGTTGGGAGTTTATCAATTATTATTATATCAACTTAAAATATTTTTTAATTATTTTTTAAATTTATTTAAGTTGGGAGTTTATCAATTATTATTATATCAACTTAAAATATTTTTTAATTATTTTTTAAATTATCCTAACTGAGTGTTTAATTATCTATTACTATTTTTGTCATTAATTAAACTTCTTGGTTTAAAATCTTTGTTTTATATGAGATTAACTTTGTATAATAAAATGATTTATGAGTTAATTTAGATTATTCTAAGTTATTTTTTTCATTTTTTTTAGTTTGTATTTCATTAAGTTCTCTAAATATGATTATTCGATTCACATGTTTAGATTAATTAGAGTTGATATAACATGTTACAATTTAATATTTTTTAAGGATATCATTTAATATATTATTGTTTTATATATTTTTTAAAAAACATGTTATCTTACATTTATCTTATCAATTTATATTTTTATTGATTATCTAGGTTGTTATTAGATTTATCAAATTAACTAGATTTAAATTTATTACAGTATAAAAAAAAAATCCTAACTGAGTGAATCATTCATTCTAGGAGAAGGAATTGATTTTACTGTTTGAAGGCGTTTTTATTGATTTTTTTGCAACAAATAGAGTTTCGTAATTTACGAGTTCCACTCAATATATTCGACCCTTAGCGTAGCGTGTCCCTAAAAACTAAACAGGATCGAATCATTCCAAAACCATTCCCATTACAATTGCTCGAGTAAATTTTGGTCAGAAAGAAACCTTCTAAAAAAGGTCCGTTTAGAAAACGGCCACAAAAAAAAAAATCTATGCCAAAATTCAAGATCTCATTGAAATAAACTTTGCAACGACACGTAGTCTTGGGTCCACCGGGACCATATTATACTCACCCTGACAACTACTGTCCGCAAACTGCGGCCCGTACATGTTTGTGTCACCGTAAGCACTGAACAGCCTGCGTCTTCTGGCTCGCTGAGTTGCCTTTCTTTCCAATCTTGGCCCATAAGTCCCGCGGTCCAACCCCTTGTCATTACTTTTCCTTGCAAAGGGTTGTTGACCGTTAAATCAGTGCCACTACCGCCAATAAATTGCCCTCCAGTTTCAAATAATTTATTGTCTCCTAAACATAATATTAAAATAGCATTAGACTATTAGTTAATTATAAAATACCAATCACTAAACCCTTTGTAATCTCCGCTCGCACCGTACAAAGCTCCAAACATGCGACGGGGATTTCGGTCTCAAACAAGACACGAAAATCTATCATCAAAATTATCGATTCTGTTAGTGTACCTGTCCTGAAGTTTTAACCTTTTAGTTTTCACAACTGAATCTTGTTAAAAAGAAGAAGAAGAAGAAAAGGCCTCCACTGTCTTTACTCGAATTAAGCCATGGCAGTTTCCTGTGATTCGATGCTTCAAAAGATCTTTGCAAAGAGCCCGGCTTTTGATTCAAACAAAAGGATTTTTGGAAAACCAGGGAGTATTTCTGGTGGGGCAATTTCTTGCAATGAAAGGAATCTGAAGAGTAAAGGCAAGATTGCTGTAAAAGCAGCAGCAGAGGCAGATGTTATGGGTTTGAAGAATCATGAGGTGAATCTGGATCTGGGGTTTGACGTGGTGGCTGAGAGAGAGTTGAGAGAGAAAGGGTTCTTGGGGATGAGGAAGACAAAGCTAGTGTGCACTATAGGGCCTGCTTGTTGTTCTCTGGAGGATTTGGAGAGATTGGCAATCAGAGGGATGAATGTGGCTAGGCTTAATATGTGTCACAATACAAGAGAGTGGCACCGTGATGCCATCAGGAAAATCAAGAAGTTGAATGAAGCGAAAGGGTTTTCTGTTTCGGTTATGATTGACACTGAAGGTAGTCTGATTCATGTCGTGGATCATGGAGTTCCTTCCTCTGTCAAAGCAGAGGTATCTTACTAGAATCCCATTGTATTGTTGGGCTTAAATCAGTGCCTTAAGATACTTCTCTCTCTCTCTCTCTCTCTCTCTCTCTCTCTCTCTCTCTCTCTTCTATTGGAGTAGTAAGATCTTCTTTTTAGTAGCTGTTAATTTAGGAGAATTACGAGCAGAATGCAGAGTCAATGGAACTCAGCATTTAGTTTCCCTTTAATTAGGGGAAAATATGTCTATAGACTATTTCTTAATTTTGGATTCTAATAATAATTTGTTGTGATCGGTGGATTTTTGTTTTCACTGGGCACCAGGAAGGTTCAGTTTGGGTATTTACATCTCAAAAGTTTGAAGGTTCTCGTCCATTTACTGTGCAAGCCAATTATCAAGGCTTCTCTGAAGGTAATGAATTTGTTTTATTGCTCGTTACGTCACTTATCCTTTAGTTTTTAAATCTTAGAAGAAATAATAAAAAAAATGCTTTATTTTAATTTATCTTAATAAAATTGAATCATCGGCAGGCATCATGGTGGGTGATGAACTGGTTATTGATGGTGGAATGGCAAGGTTTGAAGTTGTCGAAAGGATGGGGAATGATTTGCATTGCAAGTGCACAGATCCTGGTCTTTTCCTACCTCGAGCCAAATTAAGCTTCTGGAGAGACGGGAAGCTTTCCTATCACGGTCTTCCAACTCTATCCCCAAAGGTTTAGTTATGATTAATCTCTTCTCTCAACGGTTATCACATTCTGTGGTGGTCAATTCATCTTAGTCGGGTTACATTAATTACACTGTAATTTTGGTCCTAAGCTAGTTGTAACTGCATCAGATATCACAGCCTTTGCAGTTTGCTATCTGTTTCGCTAGCTTTTCTCAAAATATGATTGAGAAAACCCAGTCATTTTTAGGTTGTTTGAGTCCGAAACACTAGATTAAAATTGAGTCTCCGCAACTTGCATGCTTGGTACCGCAGACATCCTAGCAGCACTTCTGTCAATTTCCAGGGATCTATGTCATAATGTCTTGAAGTTCACGGATTCACTGGCAGGAACATAGAAGGATGGGCTCTCCATGCCATAATCATTGTTGTCCAACATTGCATACTTTCTCTTTGACAGAATTTTGCATGCGAGGAAGTTACTCTCTCAAATTTATCAGTTATACTCATTAAATGATCTACAGGATTGGGCAGATGTTGATTTTGGAATTTC